TAGTCATCCTCTGCGTGAATGATCGTCACATCATACCCGGGGGATCCTTGGTCCATATCCTCACACTTTCGAATGAAATCTGCCAGTTTGATTTTATTCGGCCATTTGGTGACGATCAATGTATTGAGCCAAGCCAGGAGACGAGGGAATTTCGCGATGGGGTCAAGTAACGGCACCGTTCCGGCTATTCGGTACGTGGCTGTCAATGATTCAACATCGGCAAAGGGGGCAACCAAGACGAGTCCGGAAAACAAAATTGGCTCTGATTGTGTGGCCATATGGTGAATGAGGGATAGGGAGACGGCCGTGCCTATGGATTGTGCAAATATCACGATACGTGAAGGTGGAATTCCGGCTTCTTTCATTGCCCACTCTGCAAGCGTGATAGCATCAGTCAATAAACCTTGCTCGGAAGGATATCCACTGCTGGTGCCAAACCCGCGATAGTCTATGGCCAACGTGTGTATGCGGTGTGGTGCACCAACGGACATGGCCCGATAGCTCGGTGGCCGCCAACCTGACCCCAGGGTTCCCGCAGCACCGTGAAAGTATAATACCAGAAGTGAGGAGGGATCATCACGGAGAAGCTTGAAGCTAAGCCGCTCCTTGACATCCGACGCGAGCCCTTGAGGTTCTGCTAATAAGACTTCCTGGTTCTGCCGGTAGAGTTCGAGTGGTAGAATGTGCCAAGCGTGAAGCGATTCACCATCAGGAGTAGTGAGAAAAAAAGGTGTGACTTGATTTCGAAGAAATCCCCATTGTTCTGGTATATTGACATCTTGAAACCAAGTCAGAGTTAAGCGATTGAGGTATATGACTTGGTCCTGTAAAACAGGGATTGTGAGTAGACCAATAAAGAGAACGTATAACCCGGTGGAAGCAAGCAAGCCGCAGAAGACCGACTGCAATGCAGTCGCGAGAGCCATAATCACTTGCGATACATAGGATTCTCTGATTTCAAATATGCAAGATAGAAACAACTGGGGGCCGACTAGACGCGACTTACATCGCGGTACCTGTCGGCTCCCTCTAATTGGCCACGCAGATAAGGAGCACCCCTACAGGTGCCGCCACTATGCGGCTCTAACCAATGAGACCTGCGAATGTGAACCAACAGCATATAAGGCTCAAATGTCGTGCCTGATCAGGTGTTAGTCGACTGGACTGCATTTATTCGCGACAGCATGATATACCGTTATGGGACAAGTCAAAGCAGGACCGACTGGCGAGCGCCATCATGTCTTTCCAAGTTGGCTACCTCATCATCCAATGCATTGGCCGTGCAGTGACACATCTAACTATAACCGCTTTGGAGCTCAACGCTTTGGCTATAGTGGTCTGCTCACTGATGACCTCATTTGCGTGGCTTCATAAACCATCAGATGTGCGCACACCTATAATCCTCAGAACCGACGCCAACCTGTCGGACCTTCCTGGCTATCGAGAATGGAGACCCACACCATTGGACTTCGTCGACGAGAATGGTCCAGGGTGGTCCGTAAATGTGCAGCCGTTCATGCGAATGCCTGTCATCCCGCCTAAGAGACCAATCCAGGCCATTCCTAATGATAGGTTTCCCATGAATCCATATGGAATCTAGGAATATTGTGTTTGTTTCGCAACCTTGGTGTTTACCGGCATACATGTCGCGGGTTGGAACTTTACTTTTCCTTCGAGGATCGAGTCAATTCTTTGGCGTATTCCTAGTCTTATTCTGCTATCTGTAACGGCAGCTTTTTGGATACTTGAGACTATGGCATCGTGGAAGCGACTGGGCCGATGGACGTGGATTTATTTGAGACTAACCGATCGCAGAAGACTAGCCGATTTTGAAAAGGCCAAAGCAGATGAACTCTCCAGGGAGGTGCCACGGCCGCTCACTAGTCTTCCCTTGCCGTGGGAATTCTGGAGCATTGCACCAGTCGGTCTTCTGCATGGCGTCTCTCGGCTTTATTTACTGGTAGAGGCGTTTTTGGAGTTACGGAATTTAAACGGAACGGCTTTTCTTAATGTTGATTGGACTTACTTCTTGCCTCATATTTAAGTCATCAACAGCAATAATCAGTTTCTATATTACTGTTAGTCCAATAAAGATATCTTGTTATTTATATTGACGACATTAATTTTCATTTTCAAATTACCAGCGTGGTGCATCGCGAAGATAGTCAAGGAAACTTATACCTCCACTCCCCCCAACTATCCGATACTACCTTTCATCTTTTGACCAACACTGCCACAGATTCTAGACTTGTCAGCAATATAAAAAGAGGCTACTTTATTTCCATCATAAGCGTGCTAAGACTAGTTGTCCTCTCTACTCTCAATTGCCTGGTATTGGTTATGGCCATGCATTGTCTGCCTTTCTCTCCCTCTCTCCATTACATACATGATACCCTAGCAACGCTAAACAGTAATTCCAAACTCAACAACTTGTCAAGTATAACACAAGGAAATCTCCTAGGGTAATTATTTTGTTACGGAATTATTGAGTCATAATTATAAGCGGTACTCAGAGAGGCTGTCCCCTCACCTCGAATATCTATCGTAGACGAACAAAAGTCTTGCGAGATATTTCCGCGGCTTTCAAGCCATTCTGCTATTAGTATAAAAACTGGATTTCGTGTACTCTTCCACGTCAAGTTCCTTTTGTTAGACTCTTGTCATACCTTTCTTAATCGCAAACGGGATTGATATTCTCTAAGAAATTAGTTATATAAATTCAAATCGTTATTATAATGAATACATAAAATAGGCGCTCAAGGTACGCATCTTATGCTCACCAAGTTTTCTAGGTCAAGTAATATACAAATTATGCAGCCCTACTCACATTCGATCGTTCGTGATCACAAACTTAAAACAGATACCGAAACAAACGCCGAGAACAAAATCTCATAGAGAGCTTAATAATAAGTTTTCGTACCCCTCCCACCATTTGTAAGCCAAACTAAGTTACCCCGCTAATGACCCTACGAAGCACAATGACACGACTACAATTATATCGGTGAGATCGATTGAGGCGAAAAGTAAATTCCGGGGACGATCGGAGGTTAGGGGGATCTGTATGTAGTATAAATATGCATAATCCATATCGGCCAGTTTAAGCTTAGATGAAACATTAAACTCCAATCTATGAGCTCGTAATCACATCAACGCCTAATACTTTCCCTATGGCAGACCTCAAGTATTACAATTACCCAGGCGTCGGAGAGGAGAACAAAAAGAAATATTCCTACAGCCAAGCCGTACGCGTGGGCGACACCATACAAATTTCCGGACAAGGTTCGACGAACTCCCCTTTTCCCTCCCATATCTCACTAACCCTTATCTAGGCGGCTGGGACCCCAATGGCGGCGGCATCCCGCATGACATCCAGGCACAGATTGACCAAGCATTCGCAAATGTCGAGCTAGCGTTGAAGACAGCGGGTGGAAAAGGGTGGGAACAGGTGTTCAGCGTGAGGTCGTACCACTTGCCGCTTAATAACGAGGCCTTAGAAGCCGTGGTGCGCAACTTTAGGACTTGGTGTCCGGACCATCAGCCCCTTTGGACATGTATCGGTGTTCAGAGGTTGGGGGAGGATGATATGCGGGTTGAGATCGAGGTGCAGGCATTTGATCCTGAAGGTGCGAAGAAGGTGTAAATAGCGAAGGATCAGGATTGAACTTATGTGGAAATATTGCGTACAAATATTGAAGTGTTAGTATAGAAGCCTCAAGGACTGGAAGTTCTAACATCCAGAAATGGAGTCCTCTATACGCACAGCTTTAAATGACCCATAGTAGGCAGGTAGCACACGGGGATGCGGCCGGGTGAATATGGTCGCCTGTAAGCCCAATACAATAAATACGTGGGTAGATAGATACCTTACCAGCTCCTATTCAATTCAATATGGGTACCAAAGAGATACCGGTAGCTAGGAATGAAGCCTATGAGATAACTATGCCGAGAAACGGAAAAAAAGAAGAATCTGAAGCTGGCCCGATTTGAACGGACAACCTTCGGGTCTGGAATCCGACGCGCTACCGTTGCGCCACAGCTCCTTGAGTGGACAATCGGGCAAAAGTATCAATACATAAAGCTGTGATCTAAAAGTAGAAAACAAGAAAACAAAAAGAACAAAAAAGAGGATAATTTCATAACCAACAAAAAAGACGGGGACTACCATCCCTTGATGGGAAAAAGTACAGGACTCTAGGAATTAAACCTAACCCGATTTAAATATTGATGTTGTATTAGGTCTATATCTAAGTCTAAGGTCTGGTAAAGAAACAGCTATTTAGGTGCTAACGCACGGACCATCTGCTACACCGGCCAAACCTCCCTCCCACGAGGCACCGACGAGAAGGAAACTATCACAAGATCTCTCAAATACCAGGGAATTCCTTAATATCCGTCAAGTCCGCTGCTTTTATTCCGTTAATATGCCACCGGCCCAGAAATGCGTCAACCCAACCCGACCCTCACGTCTCGGGCCCCTACCTTGGGGTAAAACCGACCACCTGTACGTAATATGAACTGCTTGTTTAACTGGTTCACCCGTAGCTTTAATCAAGTAATCTTATTAATCTCTCGTTAACGACGATATCATGGTTGAATCAGATGAATAAAAAGAGGTCTGTATAGTTTTCTTCCTCGACCGGTCTCGGGAGGGCAAAAGCGAGCCGGTAAGCTCAAGCCATTAGGTAGTTCGTACGTGCGTGCCCGTAGGCAAGGAAATCTCCAAAGTAATTATTGTCGTGTTTTTTTTCCTTGCCGCAGTAGGGAGCCCGCGAAGGGCTCCCGCGCAGGGGGAATTCGAAGGCTGACTGCTCTCACCAATTGTAACTGTATCGAGTGGATATTTAATGTTGTAGAGTTAATGGTTGAATCTACAGGGCGCGCGGTTTCCTACCGCGGCAAAGAAAAACACACGACGATAATTACTTTGGAGATTTTAACCAACAAATAAAAAAGGCAGGGATTACCGTCTTTCGAAAAAATATACAGGACACTTTAGGATTTGAACCCAACCCGATTTGAACGGATGACCTTCTGGAGGCAGCTTGATATTTGTTTTAGCTGGAATCAGATGCTCTACCGCTGAGCTATGGGTCCTGTTGTTGAAGGACTGATCTTTTGAGAAGAACTAAGTTAGTCGGGGCGGCAATCTCGCTCGGTGGGGAAATACCAAGTATGATTCGTAGACTGACTCGTTTAGGCTTTTCTCGGAAAAGGCGGTCGGAAGAGCCCGTTGGAGTCAGCAGAGCACTCCGTACGAATTACCGAGTGTGGCTGTCAACTCCGCCTGCGATCACAGGTCTTACTCTACGATCCCCAACCGCACTACGAAAAGGGACCCAAGCATGCGCATTTTAACCTCCCTGAGGCCACTAGATGTACTGGGCTGAAGGGAAGCCTATCCAGCTCACTCCATCCTCCATATTCAAATAATCATTGAGAAACTCGTCTCGAAACATTAATTTCAATTTACCCTTCCACCGAAGACTCTCGCCGTGCTCCTCCATTTCTGCCACCATCTGCCACGTCTTGGCGTTCTCTCTGTGCTTGCGCCAGCGTCCCTAGAGCCTCTTAATATAGCTAGCGAGCTCTGTGGGCTGGCTACACCTGCTTCTATAGCATTTAACATAAACCCCTCCTTTCCTGATCGGGTTTTTCAAAACTTGTAGTAGTTTCTGTTGCGGTTCGATAACTTTTCCATAGGCAAGTCGTCATAACGCAATGTAGGGAATATAGACCTAGTTTAGTCATTCCATATTACAGCGCCCCTGCCATGGACTAATCCATGCGGGCTCTGTTGCAATAGGACCTGAGCCGCATTGATAGCTGTCGATGGGGTACGGAGGCGACAGCCCTGCTGAAGGGGTAGGGTTTACCATGATTGAGGATTGTTGATAAATATAACTGGGTATACGTGGTGCGGCAGGAAAGCTTAGTAAATTACAGCGAGGAAGATTTTTAAACTACAGCCACCTGCTTTATTTAAGACGGAGCTACGTGAGTTAGTTTACGCCTTGTCGATGTCAGAAACATTATTTGGTATCTATTGCGCATTTTAAGCTTCGAAATAGATTTAAAGCTGCCCAGGGATTCGAGAAGCTACCCTACGGAATGGTAGATGTAACAGCTTCGTGCGGGTGTTCTTCGAAAGCCTGGATAACAATATATACGAATATATAAGCTTATTAGAGAAAATGAGTTTGACCAATGTATTGATGTTGTAAAAGAGATGAAGGGTCTGTTACAGTCCTTGTACCTGCTCACTACTATAGCATTGCAGGTGCTCCATCGCATAAGAAATAAATACACCGTGCAAGCTTCATAAGCTTAAGTAAAACATACTGTGAAATAAGGTGCAGAATACTAGAAATGTTATCCCGGGGCTCGGACATTTGATCTCGAGGGGCCGAAGAAGGTCCAGGTGAAGGAAGATCTAGATCAGATCCTACTGTATCTAGCTGGCAATCTACTAGCTTCTGACCATCTTGTCTAGCACAGCAATATCCTTCCCCCCCTCATCTGCTTTTCTGCTATAGGATACGGAAATCCGATGCCTCGCGCGCCCTCTCGCTTCAATGGGAGAGGGAGCTTGCGCTACCTAGCCCACCAAAACCTTCTACGCGTACCATAACAGGGAGGCGGACGGCCCGAGGCGCGCAAACAGCACATTATAGTTCAGCCCCCTCAGCCTCTGCCGTCTCCCCCACTATAGAGTTTGAGGCTGAGGAGGACGGGAAGCCTAAATTATCCATTCGAGAAAGCGGCTGCTGACTCACGAGCGTCGCTTTGATGTAGAAGAAAAGGGTGTGAGAATCGAGGCAGGCCGCTGGTTCGAATTGGGTTGTGTGTAAAAACCATACGTAAGTACGTATTCCATGGTCAAAATAAAAACGTAGGACGACAAGTCCAAACCGCAAAAACCGAACCACACCCCCAACTCCGCTTTTCCTCAAACATTCATCCCCTTCGATATATTACGTCTACTTAGTAATCCTCCCAAAGCTCCTTCCGATAGCCCTCGGTAAGGCGTTCGTCGGTGCCGTAAACCTCCTGCCAGCCCGTAAAGCCCCGATCCAGGACATAGACCTTCTGCTTCTTCTCCTTACTTGCACCCTCTTTTCCACCAGCATCGGCCTCCTTTGCGCGCAGGTAACTCAACGCGGCGCTGGGCCCGCGCTGCTGACTTAGGGCGCAGTGGAAGACGACGGTCTCCTTGTCCGCGAGCTTGCGCAGCAGCGTGGGCATGGTGGCGTCGAGGCTGCGGCTGGGGAAGTGCAGGGAGGTGCGGATGTGGCCGCCTATGTAGTCTAGAATAGGGAGATATAGTAAGCTCCTACTGTATGTAAAACTCTACCTGGGGAGTTTCGTTCATTGGTGGGGTTGTTGGGGAAGCTAGTAACTTATGAAGATGAGAAGAGGGACGGGGTAAAATTCCTCAGCAGTGACGAAGAAGGGGGAAAAATGTCCAAGAAAAGAAAGAGGATGAAACTAAATATAAACCTAGCTCACCGTCATCCCGGACGTCCACAATAGCAATACTGCTCTCAGCCGCCTGTTCACTTGCGTTGGTAGTGTCAGAAGCAAGGAGTCTCTCGGCAAGTCTGGCAGCAGTGATGCGCTCCAAGCTGGAGAGAGTAATGAGTGACATGACGACGATCAACTTCAGTTCGTTTAGGTGTGTTATAGAAATATGACGTTGTTGCAGTCGTCTCGTAATGGTATTATAGCACCAGAAACAAATTTGCGAGAAGCCAGTTTTATTTATAGCCAGATGGCGACTTAATGAAGGGGTTTCAATACGTAGGAAGTCAGGAGGAATGTCTAGTAAGTGAAGTGAATTTGAAACGCGAGCATGAATCAATTGGTTTGTTCTCACGATCCAGAACAAAGGTTGATGAGTACGCAGCGTCTTAATTTGAATACAGACGTCTGTTAGATGCATACCTAAATCATCCCCTATTTCTGATAACTGCATATTGCCTGTCGACCGCCAACATCCATGAAATCTTGTCTCAACATACACTTCAAAGAATGTTACGTTAGTTAACAGATATTTAGTAAAAGTAGTGGTTTTAGTAGTGTGGACTCTGTATTTCATTCTACCATTACCATAATAACCTCTACCTGTCAGTTACACACTTCTCTAGTCTCTATCTGGTATAAGTAATCCATAAGCAACAATACAGTCATTAGAATCCGCGTCTTCGAGCACCCAGCACCAGGCCCTTGCTCAAGCTCAAGGCCACATACCGTCCCATAGGAACAGCCAGTTAGCCCAGTATTTATCGAACTTTCCCACGATATACGACAATCCATCCCCTTCCGTGCCCACTTTGTACGGCCGCGTATATAGACCGCCTGTCTTGAGATGGCGCTTCATAGCCACATGCACCGAGAAGCTGCTGGGCTGTACACCCACGAAGAACTCACTTCCCAGCAGGACCACATAATCGATGAGGCCCTGCTGATCCCAGCTGAGCTCATCGAGCTCGTCCAGCTCGTCGTCTGAGAGCAGATCTATTTTAGTCACGATCTTCATCTGCGCCATCTCAATAGCGGCGTCCATAAACTTCTCTGCTTCCGTCTGGTTACCCGTGGCGAGATAAGCCGTCTGGTAGCCTCGTTTCTTCGCCTCGTTCATGTAGGCTTCAGACTGTGAGTCGTAGTGCGGCCAAAAGCCCAAGGCATCGCTTTCGGTTCGTAAGTGAATGCCAAGAAAAGCGCCGTCCTTGGATCCGTCGGCGCGGGCAAATGCGCGCATCTTCTCTAACGTCTTTTTTCCTAGCTGCAAGAACTTGTCGTTAAGCTTTAGGATACCGCCAAAAGTGGCGGCCAATTCGGGACCGTCACGATAGATCTGCCAATCGAAGAGCACGCCCCAGTTGAAGCGGATGAGACGCGGATGAGCCTTGGTCGGCGCATGGCCGTGCTTCTCGTTTTTCAGCCACCTGCGGAAGGTCTGGCCAAAGCGATCGGTATGTCTGTTCTGGTCCCAGGGGTCACAGCTCTCGCGGTTCCCGAAGTCCTTGGGGGTGATGTTACTGATCTTAGGAGACTTGCCGGCGCCAGGAATATCGGCGACATCGTCATAGAGTGTGATTTGGGGGCAATTCTTGTTAAATGCATCGCGAAAGTGCTGCTCGTCAAACATGTATGAGAAAGGGAGGAAATCGGTGAAGAGGTCAGCTAGGTCCTTCTCGTTGCGCTTGCGGATCCTGGGAATAGTGAGGCCCGTTGCGCCCGCCTCGAGCGCGTAACGTATGCATGTCTGAATGTAATTTCGTATATTCCCAATCCCTCCCGAATTGTTGTCGCAAATGTAGACAAGACCCTCCACCCAGGTAGTCTCGTCACAAAGGCGTTTCAAGGGCCAGCCGACAAAAGGTGCGTCGGGTTGGGACAGGTCGACATCGTTGCCCGGGCTCGAAGATAGATGCGCTGGGGGCGACGAAGATTGTTGGTTCTGCGGCGATGGCGAGTGAGGCGCCGAGGAAGAGGAACTGGAGGAGGAGGATGGCGACGACAACGGCTCGACTGGCGGTGGCGGAGGAGGAGGAGGTGGAGATGAAGACGATGACGAAGACGAAGACGAAGACGAAGACGAGGATAACTTGGACTCGAACCAGTCGGCGGAGGGGTATGGATAGGAGCTGGTGTTAGGTAGTCGGAAGGTCCATACTGCAATGAGGAGGACGATGCAGAGCGTCGGGAGGAAGATGTTGCGTCGAGGCATGAAGCCTGGGAGGGAGTTCAGATAGCCATTATGTGCCATCACAAGAGGAAGATAGCAGCAGCACAGACCGGTTGCACTAATAGGTGGATGAATTGCGTGGTGTTGCGCTAGAGATCAATTCAGGTTTAGCTCATGCGGCCTTCCCCCTGTTGATCGCCACTAGTGCGCTGCGCCGGTACAGCTAACGAATAATGATAGCTAAGGAATAAGTACTATGATCAATAGATATAGTGAGATCCGGGGTAGGGGGTAGGGTTCGGAGGTTGGGTTGAGAAAGACGTTTCTATCAAAAGTTGAGGAGAAATGGTGGGTGAGCTTGTAGATTTAATAAAAGGAATGAATATAGGTGGTAATATGAAGTAAG